AAAAACGGAGACAGTGGCGGGAAAGAGAATCAAGAGAGAAGATGATTAGTGCTTTTATTGAAGAAAATGGTTGAGAAATGGCTGAGTTATTCAGAGTTGAAGTTTAAGACCTACTAGAGTTGAAGTGATGAATTAAAAAAAACCAGAGGTCCAGCGGGAAAAACGGAGACGGTGGCGGTCAAGAGGATCAAGATAGAAGATGATTGATGGTTTTCTTGAAGAATTTGGTTGAGAAACGCCTGAGTTATTCAGAGTTGAAGTTTGAGGCCTAACAATGCATTTAAAAAAAAAAAAAGATGTATCAGCAAAATTGAAGATTGTGGCGGTAAAGAGCATGAAAATTGGGTGCTTTTGGTATTTTTTTTGTGATTTTTGGTTGAGAAATGGCCAAGTTGTGATTTTTTGAAGTTTAGAGTGTACCTGCAAGTTGGGAGTGAACAGGTGGTGAATCAAAAAAATCCGAGTTTGTGGCGTCGAAGAGGATAAAAATTGGATGATTCTGGTATTTTTTTTGTTGATTTTGGTTGAGTTTTGACCGAGTTGTGGTGTGTTGAAGGTTTAGAGGGGGGGTGATGTCCTTTTTTGATTGTGGTGAGTGGTTTTGCCTGCAGGAAAATTTTCAAAGTTCATGCAGGCACTTGTGGTACGCGCGCGCGCGCGCCCCCTGGAGGCGAATTTATGCATAAAATATGCATAATTAATAAAACCACGTTTAAACGCGGAAACCGCGTGCGCTGCGGCGCATCAAAACCGCGTCAAAACGCGGAAAAACCGCGTTTTTTTATTAAGTTCCTTTTATTAAGGCCCAAAAAAAATAATTAATAATCAAAATTCATCTTTATGAAAAATGGTTTTTACCATTAAATTCTACGCCTTTTATAGTGTAGGAAACAACTTTAAAAATTCAAAAAAAGTCAAAAAATAACCCATAAAAAATTAATTACGAAACCGCGTCTAAAAGCGGAAACCGCGTGTGCTGCAGCGCATCAAAGCCGCGTCAAAACGCGGAAAAACCGTGTTTTTTATTAAGGCCCTTTTTATTTTTATTTTTTATTTTTTATTTATTTTTATTATTTTTTTGTTAGGGGAACGACTCCCAAACCTTTTCAAGGTTTTGGAGTTCCGACTCCCAATTTCGGGGTTGGACGTCCTGAGGACCGTCCGCAGACGGTCCTCTCGACGTCCCAGAAATTTGGGAGTCGGAACTCCAATTTCTGGGAGTCGTTTAACTAAGACCCTAAAAAGATAAACCTACAAACTAAGAAGAATTTTCAAGTAATGTGCTTCAAATCCAAAAGCCCCATGTCATGTTTTGATCTCTCAATGCATAACATGGCTCAGAGCCACACTGATAGGTGTTCTCAGAAAACCTACCAAAAACAACCAAAAATTTGTTTTTGTATCACAAAAGAGGATCTTTCATGGAATTGAATATGTGCTGGAAACTTACAAGTTACAAGTAGCTGTATAAATGTAGACTAGAGTTCAAAAGCAACTGTGCTGCCTCAAGGTGATGTTATCTTCAAAAGTATAGCTATACCCAAATCAATGGTGGGCCACTATGCTAACCGTAGCGGTTAGCACAGCGTAACACAGCGGAATTCTGCTAAAATTTAGCTTAGTGTAGTGGATTTCCGCTGTGTCCACACTAACACTACGCGTGCAGGCCCCCTAAAAAGTGCCCGCTACGCTGCGCCAATGTGCTGGTTAGCGGCATTTTGGCCCCGTAGCAGCTGTTAGCAGCCCATAGCATAGCGTAGCATAGCAAAAAATTGCTAAAATTTTGCTAACACTACCCAATTTAGGTGTGCAAAAAAAACCCCTATGCTAACACGTTTTGGGCAAAAAGCGTAGCGTAGTGGCCCACTGTTGCCCAAATGAATCAATTTCCACCTGAATGTGTAAAAATATCCCATCTTGCTATGTAAGTTATTCACAGACAAATCACTGCTAAATTGAAGTAAAAAACCATAATTTTTGTATTTCTGACTTGCCACACCCCAATAGATAAATTGGTCTGTCAGCAAATTCTGTGGGCAGACCCCCTCAATTTTGTTACCAAGTAAACATACCCCCTCATCTCCTGATTATCCAGGAGCATGCTCATATAATGTAGTTGTATCAAAGGTGGTCCAGACATGCTAACCGTAGTTTTAGTGTGGTGTAGGGTAGCAGAATTCCACTAAAATTTAGCATAGCAATATAGCAGAATTCTGCCACATCCAAGCTAACACTACACACACAGGCCCCCAAAATGTACCCGCTACACTGTGCTAATGCACTGATTAGTGGCTTTTTGGCCCTGCAGTGGCTATTAACGGTCCATAGTGCAGCATGATGCAGCTGCAGCAAAAAACTGCCAACATTGTGCTGATACCTGCATGTGATTCCTGTGCAAAAAAGTGCTGCTACACTAACAGCTTTTTGGGCAAAAATCACAGTGTAGCATAGAGGCCCATTGTTGGTGTTATGATACCTCCAGCCAGCAAGACCAAAGATGATCTCAACATCCCAACTAGCACCCAGCCCCCATTTGGTGGCACCTGAAAGATCCACAAAGTATTTCTGTTGCCAGCCAGGCGGTGTAGGGTTTGCTGTCTCAGATGCTGAGTGAACACCTTTCTTGGCTGTCAAAAGTTTACTCTCAGTGGCCGGGAGATCCTCCTGGCCAACTGCGGTAGGGGTCTTTTGGTCATGACCCACAAACCCAGTTGGTTTGCAGGATGACTTGCAACTGACCAGGGTTT